TATTTCACCTTTTTTCTATGGTTTAGCAACTTCCCTGCAATATCTCTCACTCCTGCGAGGGGGCGAATGTTTGGTCTCCTGTAGACTGAGGAAATGGCAGGCACTCCGTCCAATTTATGCCATTGTGGGGGAGGGGTGCGGAGTTCCCACCAAAAACCATTAAGCTTTCAATCTTTCCGGCCATAGACACTGCGCAGGCGCAGCACCCATATGTGTGAATGCACAGATGGCCACTCAAAGAACGACAGTTACAGGTAAGCAACCTGCCTTTCTCAAACACTTTTGAAAAGTTCCCCCCCACACACACACACAATAAAGCATTAATGATAGCCCTCTGTGGGCCTGTATAGTGCCTTCAAAAGCACTATGTTGCCAGAAAAATTGCCCTTCAGTTGAATTGCAGGTCTTACCAAATTACTAGATGCAGTTAAGCATGAATGGAAGCTGGAACATAGTATGCTTAGTACTGAAAATTTTCCATTTATACATTGCTTGTGAGTACATAAGCACGTCTTATCTCTGAGCATGGTTTTTGTCTGCATGAAAAATCTGAGGAAATTGTATTCAAATCTTTCACTTCAAGCCTCTTGAACCGACTTGTACTTTGCATCAGAATAACAGAATGCAGGTTGGATCACTTTTTTCATGAGCACGTACCTCTGAAATATGGCTGAGCCAACAGTATTTATGAACAAAGGTCAGGTTGGAATTACTGGGTTGCAGTTAATTCAATTAACTGATTAATTAAATGTTATAAAGTTTCTGAAGTGATGCCTTAGGATACAATTCATGTCCTGTGAATAGATAATATTAACCTAATTGAAATGATACAGTGAAAACATCCCATATTTAACGTGATACTTATCTCTGAACTTAACATAAGCACATTAATGCAAATCACATTATATTGAAAAATATGTGATAGTGTACTGAAAATATGCATTTATTGAATGTATTTAGGCTTATTTAGGTTATATGCCATGAAGTCATCTCTGACCATCCTTTGAATCAATATCCTCCAAAATGTCCTGCCTTTGATAGACTTGCTCAGCTCAAGTAAACTCAAGGCTATGACTTTCTTAATGGAATTGAGCCATTTCATTTACGGTATTTCCCTTTTTCTTCTGCTTTCAACTGTCTGTGGCTTTATTGTCTACTCTGGTGAGTCTTACCTTTTCATGATGTACCTAAAGTACAACAGCCTTGATGTAGGCATTTTTTATTACATTTGTTTAATTTGATCTATGACTCATTTGTTTGTGTTTCTGCCACTCCAGCTTTCCTTCAGCATCCTTTTTTATGCACATCTATTTTCTTCCTATCAACTTTCTTCATTGTCAAACTTTCACACTCACACATAGTAATCAGGAATGCAGTAATGTGGAAACCTTGGTCTACAATGAAATATCCTTACACTTGATGATATTTTCTAGTTCCTTCATTGCTACCCTGTCAAGTCTTAGTCTTCTTCAAATTTCTTAACTGCAGTTCCCCATTGAATTGCTGATTGAACCAAGGTATGCAAAATATTTAGTACTTTCAGTTTCTTTACTGTTGATGTTAAAGCTGTAGAATCCTTCTCTCATCATTATTTTTTCTTAATGTTCTGCTACAGTCCTGCTTTTGCATTTTCATTTTTTCACTTTAATCAGGTGTCATTTCAATTCATTACTGCTTTATGGTATCTTCTGCATTACTTAAATTAGTGATTTATCTTCTGCCAGTTTTTACTCTTGCTTCCTTTGATAAGAATCCATCTTTCCTTTTGATAAATTCTGCGTACAGATTGAACAGATAGGGAAGAAAAAATTATTTGTTAGCGATGCTGTACTATTTTTATATTTATATTTATTTCATTGTGTTGCCACCCTGAGACATTGTGAAGGGCGGGATACAAGAACTTTAAATAAATAAATATTAAACACCCTTGTCTGATGGTTTTGCCTGTAGGGAACCATTCTGTTTCTCCATATTCTGTCCTAACAATAGCTTCTTACTCTTGATACATGTTATGCCTCAAGGTAATCATATGCTGAGGCATACACATTTCTTTCAGAACCATCCATAGCTTCTTGTGATCCCCACAGTCAAAGACTTTGCTATAATCTATAAAGCACACGCTAATCTTCTTGTAAAATTATTTGGTGCACTTCAATAGCCAATGTATATTGCAATAGGATCTTTAGTACTTCTTCCTTTTTAGCATCCTGCTTGTCAGCATTTCTGACAGCACATAAGGCAGATTGCTTTGTTGCAACACTCTGAACACTGTGCTTGCAATGGTCCTATAATTGCTGCACTTCTTAATACAGTAAAACCTTGGTTTGTGAGCATAATTCGTTCCAGAAACATGCTTGTAATCCAAAGCACTTGTATATCAAAGCAAATTTCCTCATAAGAAGTAATGGAAACTCATTTGATTCGTTCTACAACCAAAAATATCAATATAAAATAATTACAATACTGTAATATAATGCAAAATAATAAAGACAATGCAAAATATAAAGAAAAATAAAACAAATTAACCTGCTCTTATCTTTGAAAACCTTTGTGGCTGGTGTGAGGGAGACAAGAGAGAAGAGGGTTATTGTGTAGGACAACTTTCAGTATCACTAACAGAATCACTGCTATCTATTGGCTCAATGGAATCTTTTTCTTTTCATGCAACTTCAACAAGGAAACTATCCAATGGCACTTGCTTTTGCCTCCTTTTGAGGATTTCACAGAAATGTGACATTGCATTGTTGTTAAACAGATTCATTGCTCGCACTGCTACAGACTTATTTGGGTGGTGCTTTTCTATAAAATTTTGTACTGTTTCCCACGTTTTACACATCTCCCTAATCTCATTTGAATTCCTCCGCCTTTTTTCTCCTCCTCCTCCTCTGTAGATGAGATTTCCTCCATAACCTCTTCCATCTGCTT